TACCATTAGTCATCATTGTCAATAAAATTAATGTTATCCATTATCAACATAATTGTAGATTAATGGCGGTAGTCACTATCAAACAAACCTGAATAAAAAAAAAGTTGTATGTTTTATATAATTTATATTTAAATTTTGAAAAATAAAAATCAGAAGAGAAAGATATAAAACTAAAATACTAGTTTCAATTTTTAAAGGCGAGTTTCATTTTTATATTATCCGCCAGTAAAAAATCAATCAAGATATAATTTCTCAATGACTTATTATAAAAAATAACAATATTATTATTCATAAAAATTTATTATTAAACAAAAATATTTATAAAAAAAAAAACCTTTTATACTGTAAACATATTTAAATTAAATTTTTAGAAATTTCAAAAACTTAAATCATCTCTCACGAGAGATTCTTAAAATAAAAGTCAGTTTTTTTATTTTTTAAATTATTAGATTACAGTGACATATATAACCTCCATTTGTAGAATTGATTCTATTGCAGTAAAAAAAGAAAACAAAACAGGTGAAACTCATATAATGGAAAATAAGAACTTAAGCTTTCATTGAAATAGAAAATTAAAAAAAAATTCTTAATTCCTAAGTGAAATTGAAGATTCACAAATGAATTATATCGATAAAAATGCTTAACTCAGCTAAATAATTAGTGCTAGACTGCGACTATATCCAATATGTAATATGTTGGTGGGAATATTTGAAGTAAGATAGAAAACTAAAACCATATGGAGCGCATGTGGAGACATTAAAAGTTTGTTCTTCGTATGATTCCAACAAATCCAGCGAATATATCATATGGTTTGTTTAAGCGAGTTGTGTGGCCTGCTATTTGGTAACTGTTGTTCTTTTGATTATTTTCCGGGATTTGCACCAATTACTAGCTGTTCCTTTTCCTTCAATCATTCAAAGCAAGGGTGTTACAAAGTACAAATCATAGAATAATGGGTTTTGTAGATTCATAATCATAATGTAAGCCAAACAAGGATGTTGCTAAGTGCTAACACGAGTTCTGCTTTGAAGAAATGGGACCTGGGTGACACTTTCATTGGCTACCTTAAACCCTCAATCTTTACCTTTTTAATAGGACCACCTATCAAGTTCATAGACCTTATACCTTTCAAACATGATTTTCATGAGAAGACTGAATATACGTGTTGAGATATATTTTTAATGCAGATCGAATTTTTCACAAGCTTAGAACTTGGTTTCACGAAGTATGATTAGCCAATGAAGACTCCTCCCAATCATGTTCCCGTACGATATATTTTGTAATTTTTTAATGAATATAATTTATGTTTTAAAATCGATAATTAAAGATTAATTTATATTAAAAAAGGTGACTTTTGTCGATAACAATGGTCCAAAATTCCTTATTTAAAAAACGAATTAATAATCGATATATATCTAACATAAAAATAAGCAAGGCATTACTTGGGTTGTTTCCAAATATATATATATATATAGGAAATTCAGTCTCTACTGAAGATTAAAAAACAGATACAGAAAACGTTTAAATGAAATAAATTTTAATTTTGAAAACAAATTATAAAGATAAAATGTACATATAAAGATAAAATAAAGATAGTTTGGAATGGTTGTTAGGGGTGTAAGAAGGTTGGATTAAACCGAATTTGAATGATCTAGTTATCTAACTTGATCAAAAATTAAAAAGTTTGATTGAGTTGAGTTTGCATTTCTTTTTACTTCAATCCGACTCAAGTTGATCACAAACAAGTTGGATTGAGTATGGTTAATTAGACCATTCGCAATGGTAGTTCAAGAAACAGCTTTCTTAGGAAAGTAACATTACTTCTTAGTTTGTGGCCATTGAAAACAATTAAATTGGAGTGCATCCTCAACAAAAGTTACTTTAGCTAACAATATACAAATCAACCAACAAATATTAAAAAAAATATATTTTTTATTTTATTGTTGCAAATGCAACAATTACTTTTTTTTTTCATTTATATATAAATAAGGGTTTTTCAAAAGAAAAATTGCACAACTGAACATCTCAAATTTCTCTCTATCATCCTCAAAAATTCTCAACTTCTTCTTTTCATTTTATGGATTCAAACCAAAATTCATGGTTTAATTTGATACCAAATTATGAACAATCCACAAATCCAAATTTTCAAAATCCGTGGTTTAACAAAAGTAGTAATTAATAATTTTACTACTTTTTTTATTGCGTCAACAAATTATTTAAATAATGAAAATAAAAAATTGGTTTTTTTAAAATTAATTAATTTATAAATAAATTATTATAAATTAATAAATAAGTTCATAATAAAATATAATGATGTAAACTTTTTTGTGGGACTTATTGGAAGCACCCAAAGAGAGTTGCTCGAGATGAAGTACTTGGAGGTGCTTGTATGGACAAGAGTAAAAATGAGTGATGTATATAGGTGAGTCCCATTGAAAACATCCAAATGGAGTTGTTCCATTGTGGATGCTCTTAGGTTAGCATAATTATTTATTTATTTATTGTAAACATTAAAATATTTAATAATAGATGTACATCATTTGACATCTTGTTACAAATATAATATATGTTATCAACTCATAAAGTAAATAACAATATGAATTAAATTTCTTGATTTGTCATATCAAACAACTAACATTAGTACAAAATAAAATTTAAATTACATATCTTCTTCTTCTTGAGTTGGGTCACTTGTTAAAAAATACAAAACTTGTTATTTGACCCGTACAATATCAAATTTTGATCGGGATGAATTGGATCTAATATGAACGTCAAATAAATTCAATTAGAACTTACTAGATTTGTTTTAGTTTGGATTTGCATATTATTAATACTCACTTACACTCCTAATAGTTGTTAGGTAAATTTTCTTATTGAGTTTGACTTCTACAAATAGTGTGAAATGCTCGTCCAAAGAAAAGAAAAGAAAATAATAAATACGTTTAACGAGATTTAGAGTAATTTATAGATAATATTTTTAAATTTCTTACTACACTTTAAATTAGAAAGCTAATTTTTAATTATATTTGTATACTACATTTAAAAACTTTTAAAATTTTAATGAAGACAACTACTCCACATCTTTGTATATAGTTCTATCATTGACAATAATTTAATTCAAAAAATGTAAAAAAAAAAATTTTAAAAAAAAATCCAACTCTCATAAGTTGTAATGTGTAATGAAAGAAGAGGAGATACAAAACTAGTAAGTGTTGAAACTTGATAGTATATAAAGATTTGAGTTCAATCTTTGATATTATTATTGTAATTCTTATCAATGAAAAAAGAAAGGATACAAATGTACGTTTGTTTCAAATCTTTATAGTTCTCTTAACATATTTTTTATGACAAAATAATTGACTTTTTAGAATTTTAAAATCTAATTAATACCTTTTTTCCTTTAAAAGAACTAATACTTTTTGTTTTTCAATTATATTCTTATTTAATATACACTTCATCAACTACTAACTTAATTTTTTTTACGAAAATTAGATAATATAATTGAGAAAATAAGATATTAATTAAAGAATTTTTAAGTTCTACTTTTATTTTTACGAAAATTAGATAATAGAATTGAGAAAATGAGATATTAATTAAATAATTTTTAAGTTCAAATTTACATCTATTAAATATTTGTTATACATGTGCATTACTTTAAAAGATTAAAGATTTGAGATAAAAAATAATAATTAATTAATTAATTTGTGTTGAGAATTAAAGAGACTATATAGAGAAGAATTTAGTCATTTTAATAGTAACTTTTGATAGAATTGTTTTACTTAATAATTTATATTTATATTAAATTTTAATAATTTAATTATTAAAATTTATAAATACATATTATATATTAATTTAAATCTATATAATTAAGTATCATATTATTTTTATACTAGAAATCTTTTTATAAATTTTATATATCTATTAAAAACTTTTAATTTAACGTAATGATTGAAATTTAAGGTGGATAACAAATTATTGAATGGAGTAATTCTAATGAGAATTATTGCTATCAATTATTATAATTGAGAGAATAAAAATAAAACTAATAAAAAGAATGACAAGTGAAAAGAAATGGTGAGAGATAGAATTTTTTTTTACAAGGCCTATCTTAAAAAAAAAAAAAAGAAAAAAAAAAAGACTAGTCTAGAGGGGATAAATTATTTATACAATTATTAAGCGAGGATATAACTCAAAAAATTCATCAGGTCAGGCATTTCTCCATTTTTGAAATGGAGGAAGTAATTAATAATGACCAATTTTCACGTTCTCCATTTTTCTCCCTCATCCTGTTTGCTCATTGCTTGAATTTTATAATGAAATCAAAGTTTAAAATTCATAGATTAGTTTTAGCCATACAAACAAGTGAAGTACAATTTACTTGACAGAGCAAACTATGCGACCGACACTTCTTAAAAAAGGAATGAATAATCGGATGACTAATTTGACACTGACAATTATGAAAATTAGTATTCAATTAGTTATCGTATCCGATCGAAACTCTTGATATGGATACATTGATGTAAAAATTATAGGTTGTGTAACATATTAAAATTATTATAAAATAAAAATTATAGCAATAAGCCTGAACTGGACACAATCTGCAAGTATTATAATTCATGAATATAGTCATCTTTGATAACAAAAAAATTGATAAAATTCTCCTATATGACTAAAATCAAATTTTTATATTACAGACATAGTGAATGAGAAAACAGAATAAGAAAGTTTATCTATGCATTCTGCATATGTAATATGTATCCCCATTTGCATGTTAGGAATAGTCGAATCAAATGCATTCATCTCTCCACATAACTAATACTGTCATACTACAAGACAACGAACATATGATGAATATTCACAGGAATCTTTTTAAGATAATAAATAACAAATAAATGTAAAAGCTAGAGAATCCATACATATTAAGTTCACAAAGTTGTATTATATAGTGTTCTACCTTGAATTGAAAGTGCTAAGTGTATGTCAAAACTGGAGAAAACATCTTGAACATGGAGAACCAAACACTCCTTCTATTTATTTTTTTATAAGCATACATAAAGCTTCCCTCGAAAGGTCTTACATTACATACAATGCAAATCACACTGCAGCTGTAAATAAATATACAGTATACACCCCATCTATCAACAAGCTTTCAATATTATTCGTAAGAAACTTTATACAAAAATCACACAACTATCTTCTCTAACGTAATGACGCCAAAAAAGAATTAAAATGAAGAATCCCCAATATGAAGTTGCAATAATTAGTATCATTTTTGTTCCTTCAATTTCAATAAATACTTCAGAACTCATACAGTGTCCCTGCACCAGAAAATAGAGATTATGGACATATGTTAGGAGGGTTACTTTATAGATTATTAATGAAGTTTCATAGTTCATTCATATTTATGTAAAGCAACTTGTCCAGATTATGTGGCTAAATTTCAACTACCTAAATTTGTCATGACTTCTTCATTTTCAATCTCTGCATCAGTGAAGGTCAGGGCTTTCTGCAGCTTCCTTGGAGAGAACACCTCAACCTCAGCCATGTATGTGGCAGTCACTGGTCTGTGGTCTGAAAATTTCAGTTCAGTCCTTCCATAACTAAGTAATTTCATTCCCGTGCCATATGAAAGAACACGATCACACCTGAAAGGTAATTGCAAATTTATATATATAAAAAAAACCATTTATACAAGATAATATTTTGCTAACAAGTGTGGTAAAGTTTGTCGGTTAAGCAGCAATAAATACACCATATTAAATATTAATTACTTAAAAAAATGTGTTAAATCACTTTTGAGTTATGAATATCAGAATGATCACCAACTATTTATGGTCCAAGTCAATCACTAATGCATTTAAGCTTTTCAATTTACGTAAAACTTAATCACTCCCAATTACATGTTAAGCAGAGATTAATTAGCATATAGTAGAATAACACATATACATGGATTCATAAAATTACTAATACTTGGTTTTCCTAAGAATAATTCAGTTTAGAAACATAAGAAAACAATGGTAGTTTGAAAGATAGATAAATCAATATATAAACAAAGACTGGCAGATGTTGTAGCAGAATCTGAGATCAAACAAGCATATGTACCATGAGGGTGTGCGCCTCCCAACCTTTGGATCCTCTCCATAGTATTTCTCTGAATTAAGCTCATACTTATAAGTTGGTGGGAAGTTTAACGTGCCTTCTGACCATCCATCAAACACACCTTTCTCTAGTTCTTTCGTAAGCTGTCACAATAACATGACAATAAATTACACAGCCATATAATATTTTTTCTTAAATATGTTTTTAGTCCTTCAAATTTAGGATAAATTTATTTTTGGTCCCTCAAATTTAAAATTGATATTTTTAGTTCCTGTAATTTCAAAAAAATCTTATTTTAGTCTTTATATTCAAATTTTGTTAAGAAATTTATCAAATATTATTACATAAAATTTACTTATTAGTATTCCTGTTAATAAAAATATCACATTAAATTCAATTGATATTGCATAACCGTCTTAATTTGTTACTTTCAGATATATTATTGGTGATCTGATAGATTAAAATAAGATTTTTGAAAATTACAGGAACTAAAAATAACAATTTTAAATTTGAGGGATCAAAAATAAATTTATGTTAAATTTGAAGAACAAAAACATATTTAAACCAATTTTTTTTTATGCTGATACTTTCCACATATCATAATGTATCTCACGATTGAAAAATAGCATGGACTGTAGAGCATAGTTATCTAACTTGTTCCAAAAAGGAAGCGTTAAAAATGTTATACATAACAGTTCCACTATTACAAGGTTACTGGGATATTGTTGTCATTTGAATACTGTTATCTAAGTTAAAACAAGGATACATTGGTTATATATCAGTATGCAGTTTTATTTACAAGAAATCACTGAAAGGGTTGAGCAAATTTCTTGAGTGACAGCATGTGTTTCCTAATAGATTTTGCGTATTGCTCCTCGCCAGCAAGACCTCAAGGGTACAAAGTTTCAGACAAAGAAATTTTAAAAAAAGGTTGGTTATATCAGTAACAAAGGCTTACTAGCTAGAAAAATATGGGTACCATATTTCTTGTCAAAGGAGAAGACTAGACCACATAATTGTGATGCAGAGGATGGTTCTTATGCAACACACACGGAATAAGAGTTTCTATACTATTACCTGGTCTTTCTCAATCAATTTGGACCATTGCTTTTTTGAAATAAAATCTCTTGTTTTCTCATATGACAAGTTGATACGGTAATTCAGATCACCCAACCAAATTATTCTTCTGCAAATAAATTGGAAATGATTATGTTATTATACTTGATTTAGACAGAACTTGTAAATACACAATTGAAGCAGACATAAAAGGAATAACCATCATGAAAGGAATGCCTACCAATCCCACTGAAAAGTCAGAAAAAATCGTCCTTTTACAAATCAATGACTACCAAAAAAAATAAAAGAATAATTACTATCTATGCAAGAACACAAAATAGAATATGTTCCCTAACAGTTGGAAGCATATTTTTATTTTACCAAAGATGAAGACCAAACTACCAGAAGATTTGCTTTAATTTAACGTTGTCTATGTGTTTAAGTGATGAGATTTCTATTTGATATAAAGTACTTCAAACATTATATTGTCATGCTATATTTAAAATTTGGGGGCATGATATAATTCAAGTATATAGAAAATTGGCAAAACAACAAAAATGATGAATCTAGATGAGAAAGCCAATAATTTTAATGCTACAACAGTGTCAACCTGGGGTAAAACATGTACTCACTCATGATCAAGGATGTTTCTGGGAAGTCCATCAGCAAGAGAATAAAAATGCGTTCGTTGATGTATTTCGCGCACATCAGCATTTCTTTTATGTTCATCTGCTTCCTTTTCACCTGCCGTAAGGTGGGTACATATGAAACAAAAGAGTGTCTGATATATAGACATGCTGATAGATATTGACCCCTGAAAATTTTAAAATGTTTCTTATCATCTCATAAGTACATTAACCTTGATCAGATGTCAAGATCACCCTATATTTCTTTCAACAAAATCACCTTAAACAAAAGAAGACCAATATAATCATCACAAAAAGTTATGTTAAAAGTTAAAAACATTAATTGGTCAATTAACTTCTCTTTTTTAATACTAAAGGTCATTAAAAGCTTAGCGATATCATCGCCATTGAATGGTGAGGAACCATATATATCAACTGTGCAAAGAGAAATGATAAGTGAGCAATGCAGAAAACTATATATAACAAAATAAACAAGAGAAAGATATATTAACATTCTCATATATAATCATCATGATATAATGAGTAATGACCAAAGACTTCAAACTCAAACAGTATAGAAAAAATTGAATATTCTAAAGAAAGGGAAAAATACCTTGTTACCAATATAGCCCATAACACCAACACCAACAGTTGACACCTTTAAATTCTGAATATGCTTACGCAAGCTGCGACGAACCCATATGGTGATGAAAATCCCAACCATCTGTTTGCTCACTATCTTTACATATGATGATCTCCTTTTCCGCTTCATTAATGCTTCAAGGTCAATTTCAGCAAGCAAACCTATGTCATCTATGGTTGGCTTGAGAGAATGACATGTTCTGAAAGACTTTGATGATTTAAAGGATCTGATAGACTTAAAAGAAGTTGGTCTATCCAATGGTCCCTGAGATATCAGGTGCAGTGGTGGCTCTGGCCAGCTCAAACCAATCCTATCAGAACTACTAATCATTCTGGATAGCTTACTCTTCGGTTGAGAAGATGATGTTTCTGTATTCTCAGACAAATTTTGGTCACGAAAACAATTCAGCCTATTCAACCTCTTTTGATCTGAAAACTGTCTCAGTAAATCATTGCCAAGTGGCTCTCCTGTGTTGGCAATATCAGCAACATCTGAAGCCTGAAAATTTGTATCCAAGACTTCTTCATCTGTGGTTGGTTTATCTGTAATACCATCATAAACGTTGTTTTCTTCATCCAAAGGATGGACTTCCTCGCCAACATCACTATCACTTTCAAGTAATATTTCTTCTTCCATGTCTGGCAAATCTTCTAATGGCTTAAATTTTGATGGTGATGGAGGATCACTGAAGGATTTAATCTTTGGTGCTTTTGGTCTAACTCTATTCAGTGTATCTCGAATGATATTTTCCCATTTTGGTACCGGCCGAGTATCTTCAGCTCCAAAAATGTTACCAGTATTTAATGGCACAATCTCCTGAAGACTGCAATATTTTACAGAAAAATGATTATATGAAGAAAATATATTAAAAAGTGATTCCAAAATGACGTTCTATTCAGGTGTACGTATATTCAATATATTTTAGAAAAAATTGATAAGGTAGAATGTAGAACTTACCCAAGAACATAGATATCAGCTGGCTCATTAATGCCTAACCATTCGTCAATATCTAGGTCATCAGGGGGAAGTTTTCCTCCAACATTCCATGTTCCAACACATACTCTAAGAGACAAGTATTCACCAGAATCCAGATATGAGAAGCTTGAGCAATACCATCAAATGAACTATGCTTTCTACTCTTTCAAATCATCGCAATTAGAGTCTTCTCTTGCTAAATAAACATAAGAACAGTGCCTCACCTCAGTTCCTTCTTGTTTATATACTGAGACCTAGAAGTTAATGACTTTTGCCTTCTTAACCTTGGAAGAAACTCTTCAGTTCATTGGAAATTTAGCGGGTGTGATAAAGATAATCAAGAAAAGTGTCATACTAATCATTAAAACTCTCAGAATAGAAGAAAATTTGGAAACAGTAATTTCAATATTTTCATATACCAAAAAGAAAAATAATTACCATTCGACTCAATTGGAGCTTGTTCCCCTCTGCTGTCCCCAAATCGTGAAGGTTTTCCCCACTCTGCATATTCAAATTGAGACAGATCACAGAAAAAGCCAAACTGAAAATAAGTTGTAAAGTTTTAATTCTAAATTTTCAGATTATTTTGACATAAAGCATACTGTTCAATTTCCATATTCTAATAGAATTTATTAATTTAACAACATGCTGCAACCAACTTTTGCAATCTTCAAATAAACACACGCACAAACACAAACACAAAGACAAACACTGATAACAACAGAACTTTGGTTGCAAACACTGACCTTCATTGTCTGAGTCACTCTCAGGGTCATCCTCGTTATCATCATCAGGGTCAGCGCTGTAATCAGGCTCGTTGCTTCCCATGTTAAGCCATTTGCGCATAACCACTCTTGCCCACAAGAGCTGCGTGCAACACCAAACCAAATAGCATATTTCAGACCAAATCCTTTGCACTGTGCCTCAGTTTCCAAAGATCAACAAATCCCAAAACAGTACCAAAGACACCAACTTGCACAAGCATGCAGAAAGAAGCCATGCACGAGCTCAGGGTAGAGAGAGAGAGAGAGGCACAGTACCTGTTGGTTGTTTGCTGACCCTTGCTTCATCACAGTTAAAAATGCCTATTATTGGACGAAGCAGAATGAGAGAATGAACACAGAAACTTAACAGAGTATTGACTAGAAAAGGAGGTAACAAAAGCACATCCAAGTACTTATACCATACGTACCTCTCAAAAAACAAAGTAGTTATAATAGTAATTCATACAACCAGAAATTATGAGAGAATATATAATTGAACTTGAAGATGCAAAACTGCTTTTTGTTTTTATGAATTTTTATTCCTAAGTGTGTTGACATAGTCTAGTTGAATTTTATAAAATAGGTGAAATATTTAACACATTTTTTTTATTTTAAGATCAGACATTTTGAACATAAAATTTATAAAATTATAGATTTTGATTTCATCTTAAAAAAAAGTATGATATAATAATAGATAGCCTAATAAATGTAATAAAATTTGCTAAGACATGAGCTCTACAATATTTTTAAAAGATAAATTAGTCTAACTCAATATTGAAAGTTGATTTGTAAAGTGGTTTGAATTGCTTCCACGCATATACAGCACTTTTTTTTGTTTTTGAATGTTAACTGTGGAGTAATAATTATAGGGTATTTTTGGTAATTTGTTGGTTTCAGTGGAATTCTTCAGAAGAAAAACAATAGCAGTAGTTTTAAAACATGATTATTGAGAAATCACTAATCAGGATTCAGGATCATATTCGATCTTTTATCTGATTGGATCATAGAAATGCAAAGTATGGACTGCATGGTGACCAAAGATGACAAGTGGGTCCGTCCCCAAAATCACGGGCTATGGACAAGTTGCGACTTCGACTTGGAGGTTAAGCTATTAAATTGGAATGATAGTACTCTCACATCTCAAACTCCCCCAACCGTTTTCGTACACGTGGCAGGCATACCTTGCACATGTAAAGCTTTTATTGAAAAATATACATACACAAGCTCCCAGTTATTAATTATTATGTCATTAAACTTTAATTTTTATTTTATTGAAAAAAATACTAAAGTTCCTTACGGTGAGACTTCTAAGGTGACCCTCAACTCAAGTGAAGTCAAGGAAGAAAATTAAAAAGGGAGAGAGGAAAGCCTACTATTTATGAGGATGGATCAAACTTCCAATTCTTCATTGCCTCTTTGGATTAAATTCTCTATGGTTAAAATTTTGAGGTTTATTTTTTTATTTATGATTTCATGAATTTTACTTTTAGTTTTTATGATTAAAATATTTTATTTTAGTTCATATATACACTATTTTTTTAAAAAAATTTCATACGTTTTACATTTTAATTTCTATAAAAATAAATCACATGGTCTTGAAAAGTAACAAAAATAATATAGTTTAAATATTCTTCTATAAATTTTCTTATAGTTTTTTATATTTTCATAAAAGAATATTAAATAAAAAATATCCCATTATTTCTTTTTAGTTGTCAATTTTTTAGAAGACTTTTATTTTTATCTGTTTGTCAGCTTGAAAGTTCATGATAATATTATTATTTTTGTCAATTATACCATTATTTCTTACCTAACTTATAATTAATTGGTTTAAACATTTTTTTTTCTTATAATTTCATTTACTTTACATTTTAGATTTTATAATTTAAAATAAATATTTTTAGTTCATATACTTTTTTTTTCAATTATTTTTAGACTTTATAATTTAAGGGATTTTTAATTTATGAGAATAAAAAAAATACTTTAACAATAAGTCTCACATATAAAAATATAAAAGAAGTACGAAACATTGAAAGATCTAATTTAGAATAATTTTAATAAAATAATTTGACATATAATACACAAAGTTGAATTAATATTTATGTCACATCAATAAAAAAAAGAGATTGTTGCAAAAAAAAATGATAGAAACTAAAAAGATTTATCTTAAATTTTAAATACTAAAAAATTTAAAAAAAAAATAAGTATAATGACTAAAAATATCTATTTTAAATTATAATAATTAAAATATAAAGTAAATAAAATTATAGAGAGTTTAAAAAATATTTTAACTTAATTAATTTACATATTTAAGACTAATATTTTTTTTTAACATTTACAACTAATATGTATTCACTGCAGAGTAAAAAATTAAAATGCTATAATAAAAACTTTAAAATTATTTAACAAAAAATAAAATTATTATATCTTTTAATTTGTTTATAAAAAATTTAATCGACGGTTAAAAAAATTGAGGTAACAATTGTATTTAATATTTTAAAAATATAAATTACATTTGATACTTATTCCATAAAATAATTATAAAAAAATATATATGTTACTAGTAGAAAGGTGTAGGAGAATTTAGAATTGTTCCTACAATACTTACTGATAAGTTAAATTATGTTTATACAATTATACAGCATCTCCTTAACTAAAACTGCATTCTTTATTTCTCCGCACTGAATAAATGTTGATTAATGAATAATGAGTACACCACGTGAAATGCAACAATGAATGAGTGGGTCTATGGGAAATTAGGGTTGCATTCTTTTACTTTTACAACCTAATTGTTTGAAAATGGACAAAAGAAATGACAAAAGAGAGAAGTCATCATGAGATGAAATGAAGAAACAACTTGAAGAAAAAAATTTAATCAACTTGTTTTTTTGGTGAAAAGGAGTTTAATTAATTATATCACGTGTAACTATCCATCGACCCCAGCTTTCAATGAAGGCACCAACCAAAGTTGGTAAAATAATTAAAGACTGTGGAATGTCTCAGAAATTATTGAGTTATAATATATTAAAAACCTCGTAGATAAAGTGATGAAGTATTAAAATGGGAAAAACCGACTATTTTTTAGTCAAGTTTGGGATGAGTGGAAGCTACAAAATAAAAGAGTTAATCTGTAATACCCATTATTTTCAAAGATAAATGATGATAAGGTTGGGTGAAGAAACAACGTCCACAATTTAAACATATGCATGATGCATCCATTAATATTCTATTTCATCATCATTTTTGCTTTCAAATGAAATGGGCATGGATGAACATTTTGACTACCAAGCATACATGAGTAATTTCATATATAATAAGCTAATGGCACCTACCTCATGAATATTGCTTATGATTGCATCTAAATTTTAAATACAGTGTTTCCCATGTTGTTTTTTTTTTTTTTTTTAATTACAGTACTGGAAACTAATCTTTCTACATTAAAATTACTCCTCTCATAATCACATACTTTAAGAATTCAAGATTCAAATTCAAAATCTTTAAATTTGAAAATCAATCACTAATTATATTGGTTTGGTTTGAATTTTAAAATTTGTTTTAGTTAATTAAAAATAAATTGAACCGATTGAAGTTAAATTGATTTGGTTCAAGAAGGTATATTATAATTTTTAAGTACTTTTTAATTTTTAATATAGTCTATTTTATGTCATATAAAAGTTTATATTAATACAGGAAAAAATATTTTTTTATTTTGCAATCAATAATTATAAATATATATATATATATATATATATATATATACGATCAAATTAAGGCACTTGATAATGAGATCATAAGAAAAATAAAATAAAATAATACAAAAATTGAAGTAAAATTTAAAACATATTAATCTAAAAATTAAAATAAAATATTTAATTAGTTTTGGATTAAAAACAATCGTGTTACTAAATCAAGTTAAAATTTAAAGTAAAAATATTTATTCCAAAAAAATTTTAATTAGTAAAAACTGAAATAATATACACATAATTATACAAGTTTGAATTCTTTTATTATCGTTACAATATCAATAAAATAAATAAATTTAATTAATTGATTTAATTTAGATCGTAGAATCACCATATAAATGAACACTTATTTTAAAGGAAACTGATAGAACTTCCGAATTCTTGTTCTGAAAAATATTTCAAAAGATTAAAATATTAACTTAAATTATAAAATATTAAATTAAATAATTATTTAATAATAAATTTATTAAAAAATCGAAGGATGTATCACATCTCTATTTTAAATAGACACCGACACCATAACGACCTCCGCAATAATCGTAGGCCATAACTTTATGTGATAGCTCTCAACATTAACAGTAGAATCATTTATTTATACATGTCTACATATTTTGGTTTGATATTAAATATGGATACAAACAACTTTTAAAAAAATTATACAATTAAATCAATGTTATTAATATATATTATTTTATTTTATAACATTAAAGATAGAATTAAAATTTTGTCTTGAGAATCTATATTATCTTATAACGTAAATTCTTTTATCACGCAAATCATCAAAGTGCAACTTTATTTCTAATTAAAAAAAAAATACTAATAGCATGTATAAATGTCTCTAAGTTTTTCTTTTTTCATTTTTTTTCTTTTACACCAATTAATGGGTTCTTAAAACTGGTTGTACAGTCAAGTTTAAAATGTAAAAAAAATTGTTCATAACATTGTGAGTTCACGTCAATTTAAATTAGTTATATGATTAGGTGTTGAATTGTTGTAGTTGTTAGTTAATAATTATGGAATAATAAGATTTTGAGAGTTAAATTACCTATGAGGTAGTCAAGTTAAAACTAAGTTATTACGACTTAAGAAAAAATATATAAGAGTTTTTTTAAGATTTGTATTTCATAAATGTGTGTTTTAAGAAAATCTAGAGAAAAGTTCTCTAAAAACCCAAATCTCCTTCTTTCCCTTGTTTTCTACTGAAATCTTCCCTCCTTTCCTTCCTGTAGTTGAATCCACTTGATTGAGTTGGAAGATCTAAGCTTGTGGAGTTGAAGACTTAACTCAGAATGTTGCAGATGGTTCCTTTTCTTCCTCTTTCCTTATCATCTTTTTGGTTGAGATTTACAAAAGGTAAGGGAAGCTTGTAGTTTGATCTTTTATATTGTATATGATGATTATATTATACCTTGTTGAATCCTACTCTGATGAGCATTTAAGTTGAAATTTTGAAAGATGAAACTTTTGAGCCCTTCGTTCTTGAGGTTTCTTGAAGAGGAATGAAGGAATTGATGAGTTTGTAATGCACTGTTGTTGCATGTTGTTTCTCTTTCAAAATTTTAGTAGTATTATATTGGTAGA